AAAAAAAAAAAAACGATTAAAGAGGATAGATAAATCTTACAGTAAAACTTTAACAGTTATTTTGTTTATTCCTAAATCAGAGATACAGAAAATATCTTTCCGTTCAATCTGTCATTACAATAAAGACTTGGTATGTGCATTAAAATAACATAAATTTTTAGAACTGTCATGAATTATAAGTAATAAAAGCTATAGCAAAGTTATTGTCACACGTCGAGTTTCTTCTGCAAATAATTTTGACTTCAGTGCTTTCTTAACTGCCAACTAATTCTGCTTCCGTTTTAGCAGTCATTTTAGTTTCCTAAGCTTGAGGATTTCAGAATGTAAAATTTTATTTTAGAACTAATCATAATGCATAAAATATCATTAGATATTAATTGAGTAAAATTTTTCTCTTAACAACCTATTTTTCAGTCAGAACTGTTAGCCAAATTTCAGTAGAAAGCTCAAAAATACAGCAAAAATAAACTTATTTAAACCGGAAAGAATGGTCTTTGCCCTTAATATAAAAAGAAAGTCTGACGCATAATAGTTCACCAAAGACGTTTTGCTAAAACTGCAACAGAAAAAAAAAAAGTTGGAGAATTCCTATACTTTGAGCATATGATTAACCAATTTTTATCAATCTTAAAATTTATAAAATAATAAATTGAGATCAAAAACAACAGATTTACAATATCATTTTAAATGACATCTAATTAATGTATAATTGTATTAGATAACACGCCTAAAAAATCTACATATTTTTCTAACAAACATTTAACATTTTAGGATAAAATTAAAGTCTATTAAACACTTTAATTTAGTCTCTAAACAAATCATTTAAACCACTTCAAAAATCTTCCGCTTGAGTTAAATTTATGGGCTGTACTATCTAATTAGGTATTTGCTCATTGACGTTTTGTAAACTTTTTTATTCTTATACAGACGCTTTAGGTAATATAAAGATGCATATTTGGCTAAACGATTAAATAGCGAGATTGTTGAATTATGGCTTTTAAAGTTGTTTTGAATACTTCTTACTGTTGGCGTTCAAAATGTAGTCACGTTTGTCTGTTAGAAAATAATGATTTAATGAGCAATTTTATTAAGTCCAAAAACAATGCAAATTTACTCAACTTTTGAATAGACCACTGAACTTCGACTAACTTGTACAGTTTTGATTTTCAAACTTATTATTGGTTTTTTTTCTGTAAATACAATTATGAAAATTTCAAAAGCTGTAAAAAATTTTAAGAAAAATTAGTGTTCAAAACAACATAAGTTTTATTACCGAAGATCTAAACGGTCTTTATTGTCGACTATGAGTGAAAACAGTAATTAGTGCAGATTTGCACGGTATACTGATCAGTAGATATGACAAAAATGTGAGTAAAAGTAAATATAGGTAGTCGTTCCTACTTTTTACAAAGAGTTTTTTTTTTGTTTTTCAACTTGATATTAAATTAGAAAAAACGCGGAAAAGTTTTTTTAATCAAAAAAAAAAAAAAAAATAGAACAAGCACTAAAAATAAAAAAGTTTCTATCTTGTCGATTCAAACTTGTGAACAAATTTTTCAGTATAGAGCAATCTGTACTTAAAATTTTTTGTTTGGGTAAGACGTCGATAGTTAAACTTTCCCACATATCAGAAGAATAAAAATATAAGCCAGGTCATTACAGCGGAAATTTGTTTCCCTGAGTGCTTTCTTCAAAATTTAAGTTGGCCAGTAGAAAACCGAAAACGATGACATTAGTCTTCGATATGTTGTCGAGAAACAAACAAAGACGCTGTAGTGTGAAAGAAAAAATTGACAAAAAAAATTGGTTTGCGATGTCTGCTCTTATCCTCATCTGTTGTCGGAACACTTCAGGCTCCGGTAGAAGAACCTCTATTGCTGTATAGGTATTAACAGGTACTAATCGCCTCGTTCTGAAGTCGCATAGTTCTTTATCTTGCTTTACAATAATTCTTTCAACTTTTTTTTTTCAAATTTTTTCTAGGTTTATTTTACCTAATGACGATATTTCTTGAATTATTAATTTAGATTAATTGATGCTACTGCTGATGAGTTAATGTTAGAAGTTGAGTATTCTGTTAACCTGTTTTCTTTTTTTTTTACACTTTAAGGAATCCAAGAAACGCTTAATAAACTGCAGTGCTAACACAATGATACAGACTGTGACTTCCGGTACAGCTAATAATAATGCCTGTTTCTGAGTAAAAAAAATAGTTTCGTGCTTCTATACCGTGAGTGTGATGTTAATCCACATTTCGGTAAGAACTGAGCTTACCCTGAAAAATCAGCTAAGTTTCCTTGAGAAGCAAAAGTTTAATCTTCTGTGTGGGAGAACGAAAAATCAAAAACTTTATCAGTTATCAGTATCACAAGCTTCAATCTTTATTCGCTAAGGTTGGAATACTAAAAATTAGCAAATTAGCACATTCTTGAGAAATTGCTATAGACGATAAGTTCACTATCTAATTATTGAACATTGCTCAAATACGCTTCGATTTTCACTCACTCCTATATCATCACCACTTGAGTGCTTTGCCAACAGAACAGTCATCAGGTGTAGTTCCTTAGTTACTTCCTCTAGGTAATTCTAAAAATTAAAAAAAAGTAGATTTAGAAGTTAAATTTTGATAATTAAATGAAAGGTTCACATAGGTAGAAAACTGTAATGAAAAAACTAACTTTAACTTTAGCAGGTAAATTTTACCATAAAAGTAAGAATAATTTATCTTAAATTATCTGAAGTTTTTGTTGAACGTTAACTGCTGTAAAAACGAAATTTGAATTTTTCAAAGACTTAAAACCATAAAAAATTTAATTGATATATGTTCTTCTAAAAGTGTTTTGGAAAACAAAGCCGCAAAAAAGCAAGATTTTTTTTTAAATTTTTTGCTTTTCTTATTGTTTTGATACGTTTACGGTAACCTTTTCTAACAATGGAGCGTAAATCTGACGTAAATTTCAGGCACATGAATCTAGTGAACTATTTTTTACTGTTTCTCGCCAAAACTGGAGTCGCTTTTAACTTGCATTATGTCTCATTAGACCCGATGCCAAAACCTCCGTTTTTGATAAATGCCACTTATGAAGTCATCGAGCAGTTTATGGGTTTGCTGAGAGTACCGTTTATTGACGCAAAACGAAAGGTAATACTATCGGTGAAACTTAATAAAGCTGTTTCCTTATTGCAGTTTTGAAAAATGAATGACAGCCTGAACATTTAACAACAGCTATAACAGGTCAATGCATAATAAATAAATAATTTGAGCAGACTGTCATTATTAAAGTTAAGATATTCGAAAAGAAAATAGACATACATTTAATTTAAATGAAAAGTTTGGAAAAAATTTTGTTATATTAACACTGCATTTACGATTAAATCTACTTCAGTTAGGTTAATACTTTAAAGGTTTTTGAAATATCTGATTTCTTTGCCACTTTGTCATTTCCCGATCATTGTAGTTTTAGCTGAACGGTTCTTCACTTTACCAGTAAAAAATCTCTTAAAAAATGAAATAATGACAAAAAAATTTTTTATAATATATTTCACTTGCTTTACAAGTGTAACTAGCATAGATTTCGTGGTTGTAACAAATTTATTAATATTTTTAGATCCTCTTATCAACAATTATTCAAATAATTTTATTTCATGTTTCTTTCTGCATTTTTAGGTCACCGAGTTAGACATTTTAGTTGGGAGTTTACGACGTGACGTTCAAGATGCTTATGAAGATTTGAAATCTGAAGCAATTATGTCAAGGCTTGAAGAAGAAGACCAAAGCACTGAATTTGTTGAAAAGGTGTTAATTTACTGTAGTTGCTATTGATACTGCACAACCAGTTTTTTTAGTTTGAGTCTGTTCAAATGAATTTATCCATCATCGATTGTAAATCGTAGCAGGAATGGCCAATTAAATCGACGTTGTAATAAAATTTTTGCGTATCTCCAGACACACTATGTGATCGCTCATTTGGAAGCTCTAAAAAACGCTAAAAGAATTGGGCAGTTAGAACGAAAAAAACGCATCGAAATGGTATTTGCTGAGTACAACGATTTTATGGTACAAGCGATGACCGATCGAATCCACAGAATGCTTGGCAACGTCATGAAGCAGATTACGCGAGCTATGCTTTTTTCAGAACGATTGACTACTAAGTAGATTGTTACCTTTTGATTCATATATTTGTATTTTTATTTGTACGTTTGCCATACTGTTTTTTATATTCTGACCACTACTTTCATTCACTTAATTACTTGTGAAACTTTTTAAATTTTGATGTTTGTACAGCCTACATTTTTCATGTGCTCAAAGCTAATTCCTCATTTTGTACCCCATCAGCGAGAAAGATTTTCTTCAAAAACTTTATTAATTGTGTAAAACTTCATTTCGTTTTTTCCTTTTTTCTTCTTTTGTTTTTTTTTTTTTATCGGTATAATAATTCTATTACAAAAGAATAGCTCCAAAACTTTTCTCTAACACTTTTAATTAATTTCAGTGTCAAGGTTTCAACAAGAGTTTATCCTTACCATTTAACTATATATTATATTAGTGTCAAAATTCAGGAGGTACATGAAAAATCATCATAAATCAACTAGTTTTTCTTATTATCTTTTTTTAGTTGAAATTTGAAAGTGAATAGGCTAGTGTAAATAGACAATACCTTTAATACCAATTAAACGCTCCAGAAAAAGATAAACCAAGAGTGGACTAATTGTTTATTTGTTCGCTAGCATAAAGAACTTTTTTCAAAGTTTCTGGTGAAGAAAGATAATTATTGCTTTACTGTGACCAAGTGGAAAGGGTCGTTTTGAACTGCTGAGCGTGGAAATATAAAAACATAGATTTTCTTTTATTGTCACTGCTGCGTTGACTGAGTTACTTCAAAGTTGTTTCACAATTTCTATAACTTTTTTAGAAAAAAAGCAAAAAAATTTGAAATTTTTATTTGTTATTAACGAATAGGAGCTGAGCACGTAAAACTGAACAATGTGCAGAATATTGGTGCAATTTTTGTGTGTCTGTCACAAACGAACTTTATTACAACAAAACCACTCTTAAATATTGCGAATATAATCTAGAGAGACATTTTGAATTGATAATATTATAAAATTGGCTCTGTGATTATTTATTCTATAAAAGAGTCGATCAGATCAGTACGTGGCCATTTAAAGATGAAAATTTTAAGGTGGTGATGGATTTCAAAGAGAAATGCTGGAAGAATAACAGGACAGCTGCAGTTAAATAAAGCAGCAGTAGCGAAGAAATCTTCTAAGAAAAAAGTTGAGAAAAATCAAGAAATTTTAGTAAGTGCCAAAAAAACCGCTTTACTATCAGCTTATCATGACTTGACTTGTTTATATGGGATGAAAAGTGACATTTTTCTGATGAGTCACTAACTTCTGGTAAGAAATGGTTTTTCACTGACAGTTGCAGGTGCAGTTACGTACAGTGTTGGAAGAAGAACTATGAGGCATTTGCTAAAAAATAATTTTAATTATAAAAAGCATGTTTGACGTATTTTTGTTTTTATATGCAGTAGTTTTCTAAATTCGAGAAATTATGCCACTGCAAGGCCTTACTATTGTATTGTAAAGTATAGTATAAGCATACAGAGAATAAGAAAATATGAACACTTTAAAAGATAAAGAAAAATTAGTAGTGAGCATTAAAAAAATAATCAGGAACGCATGTTCAAAATCTCTAAAATACGACTTACGAAAACTATTTGTGCAGCTTTGAATCACTTTGACTCGCTGCTCTTAACTCGTCCGGTCTTTATACGCTCTTGTTCACACAAAAGTACAGGAAAATTTTAAATTAATGAAACTTTTTAACGTTTCTTAGGGTTCTTTGCTGCATGCTTCTGCAGAATAGAAGTATTCACTCCCCTTTTAGTGACTCTACAGAAAACCTCATGTTAATCAGTTAAACTAAGAAGATCAGTCTTTAAATGATTTTAGAACATCCGGGAGCTTTATAACAGCGTGTTTTGATGCAGCAGATTTGAATCATTTCATTTTCCCTTTATATTATGTGTTGTTTAGACAGATTGGGACCAGTTTATTTTTTGTTTACTGCAGTTTATCTTACAAAGACTGTGAGAAAAGAGTACTGCTATAAAATCCTTTCATATATTTACATACATTTGAAAAAGATAATTTCAAAAGTTACTTTAGTCAATTCGTATTTAGATAATGAACCCCAATTCTTCCATATTTGAGTTTATAGTAGTAACTTATATGAAACGCCACAAAATTGATACGGTAAGCCAGCTCACGTCTTTTAATATACCGTCCCCAGTTAAACACAGCGAATCGCAGAAAGCAGTAAACTACAGTTCAGTTTAATGCAGGCGAAGCAGTTTCAAGGTTGCCTCAGAAATGGTGCGCTTCTTGCGGCCTAAATAACAGTAAAATTTATACATAAAACTAATATTGTTTCATTCTACTTTTAAAAACTGAAATATTTTCGGTTGCACTTACGCCCGACTTTTTGTACTTTTTAACAAGTGTTTTGCAGTAGTAAACTTACAGCCACCGCAGTTTGTTGCTGGTGGTGGGCAGCAAGATGGTGCTGGTGGTGGTGGTGGGGGACAGCATACTGGTGCTGGTGGTGGTGGTGGTGGTGGTGGTGGTGGTGG